TGCCATGCATCTTATAAACAAAAAAGGAAGAGCGAAATAGAGCAAAGTCTCACTCACTCAAAAAGAAAATATTATCTACATAACGGAAAGAAAGCCTGTGCCAGAGAATTGTGAGGATCATGCGTGTACTTGGCTCCAAAAATGGCTCTGTCCACGCATTCACTTGCAAAGCTAGACCAGTGTAGTGGAATTTTCACATTCTGATCGATTTTAAATATAGAATCTCCACTTTCAGTCCATGTGTATATTTTGAGAAAAGAGTTTGGAGAGCCGGGGAAGTAATATTCATGCTCATCGTTGGATTCTCTATCGAATGGTATATTAAACAGGCACTTCTATGTTTTACTGTAACCTTGCATGCTGTGCATCTTATACATACTCCTATGGCTGTTCTCACTATTCATCGGTTATGCCTAAACTTCTATACTCTTGAAGAAGTCATTGAAGGCAAGGTCTGATGAAAAAATCTCGCTTCATACTTTTTCTTTTTTCTCAATAGTGTGAGCCAAGGTTGCTGTGAACGTGTATTAAATTCGGATGGCAAGTGAAGCTCTGTAAAAGTTTTCTACGGTATTCGCAAAGAGTTTGTCAAAACTTTGCTCATAAAAATCCCCGGAGTATTGCACAGGCCCAATTATTAGTTTACCGAGATATCTCTTGCAACACACTTATGTGCACTTAAAAATTTATTGAATAGTACCGAGTATAACCTTCACAAAACGGTCTGTGCAAGAGCACAATACCCCATACAATACCGTAATAAAGCGTATAGTATTAAATTAGTCGTGTAAGCATATTGATACTACGTGTACTCTGTTACTTTTCCAGCGATTAGCCCTATCCACGCCCACGCCTATCCACACTGTTTCCATGCATTTGTACCGTTTTTGAAGTTTTCAGATAAAGCTTTTTTAATAATAATTGAATATTCTTTTGAAACATAGCGGTTAATTATCTTTAAAGAAGTCATTAAACCAATTAGAAAAGACAATCAAGTTCCTTTACACATCGATTTAATCGTGTTTGAACATTATTAGCAAATTCTTGATAGAGTCTTGCAATTGTTGCTTCATCATCAGTTATATCATCAATTTTAAAACAAAAATTACTCCATCTTTCTCTTAATCAATTATATTTATGAAGATAATGTTTTTTGTTCCCAAAATCAACGTACTGTTGTTGACTATGTACCAGACAATTGTAAAAACCGTTGCAACACACGATTTTTTCCTTCAATTTTCCGTACAAGCGTAAGAGATCATTGAATACTTTCTTCTTTATTTCTTTGCTCTTTCAATTATTTAATTGTTGCATCTTCATCAATATCTGAGAACAAATCAAATGGTATTAATTCTTCATATAGTATCAACCGTACACTATCTGATTTACCTTGTCGATCAGCATGACTAAATGCTTGTTGTTCACTGCGAGAATTTTGTAGTAAAAATGTAACAATAACATGCAGTCCTCCTTAATCGTTTATAGCTGTTACTGGTTTCAAATCAGTACCACGACTTGTCAAATTTGTTGTATTTGTTACTGTCAATATTTGACTTTCTTTTTGAATGGCGACGTATACCATACGTAACCTAGTTCCGCGAAAGAAGCTCTTCTTGAAAGAAAAGTGTCTGAAGAGAACCATACCTCATTTCTGTATGATTACGAGACGCAGTGTATTCATACCTCACGCTTTTTTTGAAAAGTATGAAGCACTCATATCCTCTGTTCAAACTGCACTTTCAAATAATTGGAGAAATTCTCATGCTTGTGTACAGAGATAGAACTCGGGATTCTTATCGTAAGCCACAGTATTGCGTTGAAAAATTACTAAATATGATTTTGATGTTTCTTAGACGTATATTTGTGCCTACGTAACTTACTATCGATGTTGTTCAAAATGAAACATAGACTTGTGAATAGATAACACCAATCGTGATATTACTAATCTCAAACAATCAGTATATTTATTAATCATTTTATGTGACACCTGTATCTAATCGCTTTCTCTTCTTCTACTTCTAGTGCATTAATGGCAATCGTCATTGCTCTTTCTCTGATAGGTAACTGTAGGTGTCAATCGAATATGTGAAACAGCAGAAAGAAAAATCGATGTTAGTCAGCTGATTGATTCATGGTTAAATTTAACTAAGGGTATATAAACATGAGATAGTTCAAGCCATTTCATTCACTTAACAATCACAAACATTCCATTTTCTCTAAATACAGGTAAATACATTATGACAGAAAATATCATTGAAACCTCATCACGTTCATCAACGGACAAGCATCGTTCACCGTCGTTGAAACGAAACGAAGTCGCTTTTCAATTTTCAAATTCTGCTGAGAATGTAGGCGTACAAGGAATAGTCCAGTCACCTTTCTCAAGTCCACGTACTGGTTATCGACGACAAAGCACAGAAGATATTCAAGCAAATATTGTTGCTAATGCAATGTCAAAGAGCATCGATGCTTTGAACATGGCCGAGAATCAAGGGCAAAACAGCTTTATGACAGCTGGTGGGACGGAAAATACGGAACATTTCGGCTCATCAGCCTCATTCAACCATGCATCATCAAGTTCTTTACATCGAAGTACAAGTGGAGTGAATTTGGGTTCTCCCAACTATCCTCCCAACCTATTAGATATAAATAAGTATCCGATCAACTATGATCCACATCCAGAAATGGTTCATCGACCGAATTTGAATCATATCACATACAAACAAGACGTGGCCGTTCGTTATTTGCAGCCTCCAACACCACCACCACCGGGTCCAATCGTCATTCGCGAAATAAGAGCTCCTGCTTTGCCCGACGCTCCTCCTATTGTAATTAAACAGCAGCCTCCTGTTCCACTGACACCACCACCCATCGTTGTCCGAGAACGTCCTCCTCAACCTCCCGCCATCATCCCACCTCGAGTTATTGAAAAATTCATTCCTCCTCCACCACCAACTTCTCGAAAAGTGATTATTGAACGAATGCAGGCTTTGCCACCGAAACCTCAACCAGTTATTATCGAGAAATGGTTACCTTATAAACAACAAGAGCAAAGTCGCGTTATTGTTCAGCGTGCTCCAGCACCTCCTCCTTTGCCAATACAGAAAAATACGATAATAACATGGGATGCTCCACGTGTTGATGTGATCAGAAATGTGCAAAATCTGGGCACTATTCGTGCTGATCCAATGGCGTACTATCGCCAATTCGGTGCTAATCTGGCTTCATCCGATTACGTTCTTTCTCAAATGTCAAAATACGGTGTGACCTATGGTTATCAAACAATGTATAACAACAGTACAAGACTAATGACTGCTGGAGAAACAGCAGATGAGTTCGCTAATCATCAGGCCAGCGATCAAGATATTTTGAATGGACATTACTCATCGAGCTATGTGGCTGAGAATGATTCGAGTTCCGATGTGTTCCTGAACAATAACATAACATCGAGTGGAGTCACAGCGAGTTATAACTCTGCACATTACAATGAGACAGGTCGAAGAAATCGACATTCAAGTACCAGTGAGCAACATGTTCTACAACAAGCTGGTTTGAGTGTTGCATAAACTACCTTTCTTTACACATATCATGCAGGAAGACAAATTGATCGTCTTTTATAAAGAAGAAAAAATTGGCCAAATTTATTTTTCTTCATTGTTTAGAACTGTACTTATGTTTAGCTCGCATAAATAAAGTGTCACTTTACTGTGTGATCCTGTTTGATGGGATTATAGCGTTATACTGTATTGCTTCAAAAGACGCTGTTCCAAGGGAGGAAAATCTCATTTTAAGTGCCTTTAAGTACACCTCCAAGTTAAGTGTCACTTAACTTGTCTCACTTCAAGTGCCTAAGTTCTGACATGTCACTTAATTGATTAAGTGACACTTCAAATTCAACAGCTCCCTAGAATAACAAGATTTTTAGCTCACTTCTGCCTTTTTATCCTATGTGTTCCGAAATCTAAATTGTATGAACTGCAGTTGTTCCGTCTGATGAGAACCTGTTTGTTTTCATCAGCTTAATGAACAAAGTTAGAAAGCATCTACAAATGTTAGTAAAAAACCGACAATGTCCGCGAAAAAACTGTAAACAGTGCTTACAAAAACTAAACAAATAGTTCTTTAACTAGTAAGTAACACAAAGAAATATGGCACTGTCGAACTTTGCGGCTGAAATTCAGCTAGAATTTTGAAAGTTTAGGCGCAAACAGCATGATCATAAATGCATAAATGATTTTTCTGCAATAACAGACCGAAAGATCGTATATAATTCCAAGTAATGGGTTCTGAAGTGTGAATCAAAAAACATTTCGACGCCTCTCGTGGAGGCTGCCACTACAAATGCACCGATATTCCACAGAATCATAGATACACGATTATGCAACAACAAGATACAGCGTTTTCTGTCGTTTTTTGATGTAGTGAATCTCTACAAGCTATTTTATGAATGAAATTTTGAGAGGATCTCGATGATGCTTGTGTTGTTTAGAAAGGTTCACCAATTCCTCGTCAATGACCATATCCTTTTTTTACTCCCTTCGGAAGAGGAAAACAATCACTCTAAAAGCACTGACAAGGGAACCTTTCCAACTGTCCCCTCGATTTTTTTGTAAATTGTATAACTTTGGAAAGAAAGGTCGTGTAGAGGTGAGAGATCCCTCATTTTAATCGGAAATGTGCAGGCTGCAGTCATGTCTCATTAAGAGAGATTTTGGTTATTTTTCAGAGTTTTCTTGAAAAGCTGGTTTTCCAAAAGCTGGCACAACACAAGCATGATCATCGACAGAAAACGCTGTATCTTGTTGTTGACAGTTGGAAAGGTTCCCTTGTCAGTGCTTTTAG